ACAGTTACTTTAGAAATTGATACGTCATCACAGGTTTTCAAAATTTTAACAATAGCGCTTCCTAACCGTCCTAGTAGAGTGACTGTGGTTCGAAGCACAACTCCACTAGATCTAAAAGTGCTTGTAAACCTAAAATGTCATTTATTGTGTGTGCTAGATATGGCTTACTTTGACCGTAGACACTATTTTGTCATTACATACATTTACGCTTCTGATAAATCAAATACAATACTTGTAAAAAAAACCATGCATTTACGGTAACATGTGTAATATACCATTTATTCGTGAAACAGATGTATATGTTTAGAACGTGATTAAGGTAGCGAGAAGGGGAATTTTAATTTATATCTTGATTTTTGAAAAAAATAATAAAACAGTTACTTTAGAAATTGATACGTCATCACAGGTTTTCAAAATTTCGGAAAGACGCTGCTCAAATTAGTGTTTTAAAAGCTAATACAAATAACCACAACTGCCGTTTCGTAGATATTCGCATAATGTTTATATTTGGGATGGTTCAAATGATAACATCTCATCTGTACACTCAGACTATTACAAAATCATATCAATAAATCGAAATAGATTACCAAGATACACGAGCTTTACCCGGTACACGCTTAAGAAGCTTGTTTACAGTTAAAAGTAATGAACATAGTCATAACAACACCTATGCGACAAAGTAAAACATATTGATTTCATAAAAGAAAAAAAAACGTAAAAAAGTAATACCATATTTGTTCGAAGCACAAATCCACTAGATCTGGAAGTGCTTGTAAACAATTTGTGTGTGCTAGATATGGCTTACTTTGACCGTAGACACTCCTTTGTCATTACATACATTTACGCTTCTATGTCGCATACGACTTATTTACCATTTCAGTGTCAATGAGAATGTTCTAGAACCGTACTGTGTCTTGGTGGAATATTCTATATTTTTTAGAAAATGGTTGAATAGGTAATAGAACACAGTAGGAGGCAATAGAAGGTAATGGAACATTCTAGAAATTTGTAGTAAGTTTCAGACTCATTATGTATGCTGATGTAATGGTCTATTTATAGACAGTGGGGGGTATATATACTGGAGTTGTTCAGCACTGAGTTCAGATCGGAGATCTCGTTGAATTGTACTGGAGTTTAAGTATCTAGTTATTGGAGTAGTGGAGTTTTACCGCGTTATTGTGCTTGATGTTTGCAGAGTATAATAATACCAGTACCAGTTGAAACCTCATCTGTTGGCTCCGTGTTCGTATGTTATCATCGCCGCCAGGGAAGTCTTTCTGTTACTGTTGCCATTTTGGTGTTTGAATCATCACACCTGTACTATACCAATTACGGTAATATTACGTTGCGTGTGACATTCTAATAAAACAAATACAATACTTGTAAAAAAAACATGCATTTACGGTAATATATGTAATATACCATTTATTCGTGAAACAGATGTATATGTTTAGGATGTCCATGACGAATTACAAAAAAAAAAAATACTTTGTATTTGCTTTGACATGAATAGTGAAAGCAGATTATTATATTATGATTAATATTGTTCCCCGTAAAGCTACCATAATAAGAATAGTTCAATAATGTTGACATTTGATGGTAAACGCCTGGCAACCATCACGGTGAAAACAAAGGCCAAAAACTTTCAGAAAACTGTACTTTGGAATGGTTGTTGAAACTCTCCTGAATAGTGTAACAAAGTCACCCGTCCATGACCAACATATATAATTTTCCAGGATTAATTTTCTTGAATTTAGCTATTTTCGCCGGCTCTTCCACCGGCGCTCCACACCAGCACATTGGTGCGCGTCTTAGCAACATGGAACGTTCTGTGACGTAGCTCAGCCTCGAGGATATGTTTATAATCTCCAGTAACGACACCTTTTAATCTGTACTGTGTGTTTTCTCAAAATGGCGAATTACAGAAATATAAATATATAGTATTTTCGAACAAACTGACATGAAGCGTGAAAGAAGATTATTACATTTTTATAACTTACAACATTTCATCAATTTTGTATCCCATGAAGCTTCTATAATAATGTTTGGCAAATTGATCAGAAGAGATGGCGGCCTCAGAAAATGAGAACTAAATATATAATGGAATGTATTACGTGTATGGTTAATCTGATAATGAATATTACGTAACAATAATTTATACGTCTCCAATGAGTGTTAAACTGCATTTTCGTAGATACTTACATAATGTTTATCTTTGGGATGGTTCATCACCTGATCACCTGCGCCGGCATTGTTACACTGTGTCAACGTAATCCCAAAGCAACTTTGAAATTTGAATGAACTGTAAATGCTGCCTTCATTATAGAAAATAGTATCGCAAAACGATTGGAAATAATAAATGTAACAGCAGAATAATAGTAAGTCCTAGTAATAAACTAAGTGACGAACTTCGTATATGGGGTCCATTTAGTTATAAACCGACGTTAGCTTCACGTGCATGTTCTACCATGGAAACCGCCAAAAACATGTTGCTTGTTTTTTGAGCAGAGCGGATCGCCAATCAGCTTGTAATGCTTAGTAGGAACACGTCGATTTTCCAACAAAATTTTCTTTTAAAATATTAGAAGAGACATATTTGTTTATGGTCAGCTACAATTTATTCTTATAAAATGCAATATATAACACAAAGTTCGAGATTCAACTCTTTATTTTAATGTAGTATGGGCCCTTTTCAAATGATGCATAACACACACCAAACATCAACAATTCTACTCAACAATGGCTGGGTTTTGTGATATGAGATTTGGGTAATGTGTTTAATTGTTAACAAAGATTTTCAATAACACAAAATTCAAAAATTTCAAAAAACAAAACGCCGATAGCAGTCAAAACCACGTGACTAGGGAACATAATTTTACAGGGCAGACCGTGCTAACAAAATTCCAAGCCCCAGAATGTAGTGCAACTGAGCACTTCTGATCTGGTTAAAAACCGAGATGGCGGATAAACCACGTCACGAATATTTTCTATGTCGTAAATTCTTGTGGTACGTAATTAATATTGTAATAAATTGTGCATATTTTTTGTGATCATTTCTGTTTTTTCATTGTAAAAGTCAATGACGACGCAACTAATTTCGTAATTTGATTTTCCCTCAAAGACGTAATATCCCCCTCAATCTGTCAAATTCTGATGAATCCAAATTGTCATTTGCAGTCTTTTCCTTAAGGGTGATCTGGTAAGCACCCACCCCTAAAAAAAATCGCGATTTTCTGAGTAGAGGTCGCTGGGCGCTAACGCGGTCGAATACGGTATTTAGTAAATAGTGCAGGTAAGTGCTCTCTAACAAGCCATTTTTAGCTATTTATGGATAACCAAGGGGTAGTAAGTGGATTTATATTGTCACGCACTTTAATCCCACCACAGCACCTATTTCACTGCGGCATGTATCGATTTTCTCGTTTAATTTTTGCATGTCAAATTTTCATTTCATTCTTGAATTTTCTCAAAAGTTGTCAATTGGCTGTGTGTTATTGAATGAATGTCTCACTCACAAGTCGCACTCTAATTCACCCCCCCCACACACACTAATATAAAAACTCAAATTGTATATGTGGAAGTCAAACATGGTTAAATAATTTTCTACATTTGTCTAATATGAAATATTTTTGACTTCCGTGTGTGAAGCACACAATGGAAATCTTTGCAGTTATTTTATTAAAGTAGGTTTATAAATAAATCTTTTGTGGGAAATGGATAAAAAAGAAAAATACATTATGGGCTGTACATTATTTGATGAGTTAGTTTTTGTATTATTCACTATCCATGGGATGGAATAACTTCCACTGTGCAGTGTATGGATGGAAAGTTGTTCAAATATTCCGCTAGTTTGGCTTTTGAATACCTTCCGACTTGAAGTCAAAGACGAACTCCGAAAATAAATCTAATTCTACCGAGACACATTTCAAGAAAAAAAAATCTATTCATGATATGAAACAAAACAAAAGTAGTTACTGGCGGTGCTTAGATAATGTAGTCTGGCATATTGACCAGCATTTCACTGAAAGTTTTCTTTATAAATTTGCATAAAACGGGGAATTGTGATGTTCGAAACAAAATATAAATTCATCTGAAAAGTGAAAAGTAAAAAAAAACAATACAAAGCCCTATTTAAGTTACATTCATTTATATGTAATTTACGGTAATGCCGGGTTGACTTACAAATCTAGAATACAGTCATTTCTTGTGGTACTTGAATTAATAAGTATTGACGAAACTGAAACATTTTTATTTTTGTTGATATCCCAACCTGCATGTGGGCCTGTAATTGAAACTGATCTAGAAAAACACATTTAGCTACTTCAGACTATTTTAGGTTAATAATAACCTAATAGAGTTACTTCTGTGTCTCTAACTTATTAACTTACATTGAGTGGAGGAATTATGAAAACAAAACAAAAATCGTTCGAATTCGTCATAATTGTTTGTATTCAGTTTTTAGAGAATAATGGTCACTGTTACTTATTTCGTTGTACAAATTTGATGTCAGCTCAATGTTTTTGTTTATCGCAATTTGTACACTTTTTTTCGGAATTGTGAATTTATACCTTAAATACGGACATTGAAATGCGAATGACACAATAGTTTGATTTAATATGAAATATAATATAGTTGCAATATTTTACCAATTATACATTTTGGTATTTAATATATATATTTGAATTTGAATATATGTGATTTACTAGACACATTGATTTACCCCAATGTCATTTTTGATATGTAAATATAATATATGACATGACATTAGCAACATTCAACATTAAAATACTTTCATGACATTATTTCCTTGTTTATACCCGTCATGACATGAAAGTATGGTCTTCAATATGTAGAATGCTTGTACATAATTAAAGACCGGTCATTTTGAGTTGCGATAACATTGTACCTGTACAAAACACATTTATGACATCTGCAAATTGACAATGATATTAACATGACTAAAGACGTACACTTTTATTTTAGAATCTGACTGACTAATTATGATCAACGTGGCAATTGATTATACGTGGACAGCGGCTTTCACAGCTGTGTTCGCCATTGTATTTGGTGTATACTGGTTTTCGAGGTCTAAGAAGCAATACAACTTGCCACCGGGACCAAAAGGATGGCCATTTGTAGGGATGCTATACAATTTGGGCGATACACCACATATACAGTTCATGGAAATGGCGAAGAAGTTTGGAAATGTATTTTCAATGAAAGTCGGTACCCAACGCGTAATAGTGTTGAATGGCTATAAAGCTGTGACTGAAGCATTGGTGGATAACAACTCCATATTTTCTGAAAGACCAGATGCATGGACCCTCAAAAGAGTAAAGGATGGTGATGGTAAGACACACATAGTGCATTTATATTGTATTACTTCATCACATTTTAATTGTTATTATACTTCAGCACTAATATATTTAGAGACATTGGTGATTTAACTTTGACCTGTGAATGAAAGAAAGCAGAGGGATCATTCTACAGAAATATTAAATATTTTTTATACTGAACTATTTTGAAAGTTGCCTGAATGGTTTATGGTCCGTGCATATAGATTATATTTCACCAATAGAACAGTTTATACTTTCTTTGACCTCTTCTTGTTGGATACAGAATACATGCTGGTGTATATTATATACATCTTTCCCCAGGTTTTGAATCAATGTCAGTAGTGTCACTGAGTAGTGGCCATTGGCAGGTTATCATAGGGTAATTACAGGATCACTGGTGTTAGGAGAAATGAGGAAGGTTTCAACATATTGCGATGCAGTGTTCCTTCTTTATTGCCGGATATACAGGAAGGTTGGGTTGTTTCATGACAACCCCGAAATGAGTGTTTTTTCAAGCAATCACCAATTCTGTGTTTGCAATTTTCTTTTAGCTCCATAAGGGAAATGTGTCACCTTTATGTCTTTTTCGCTTGTTTCATCTGTACTTGCTTGGCTATGCTTGCTGCAACTGCTTTCGTAGTACATCGATATAGTATTCTACTTCTTGATACGAGTCTCAGGAGGTGTCAAAGATAAGGTCAACGGGGGAGGCGTGGATTGTGGCCAAACATCGGAAAGAATTATAAAAATATTCTGTAGATTCCTTTTCTCGTGCAAATTACGTACATAAGTAAATGTCTTCAAGTTCTTCACCAATTCATGTTCAATATATCCAATTTATCGGTGTGTGTGCCAAATACACTTTTGTAGTTTCAACTTTAGCCCATGCTGGCAGAGTCTGTCAAACACTATCTGCAGTCTGGCGAGAAGTTATATAATATTATTGGAGTAAATATTTTACATATATGACTGGTATTAGAAACTTCGCTTTTCCACAAACACAACAACCACCAGTCTGCTGATTTGCCATGAAAACTCACATCCAGAAAGATGTACTTGATTTGTGTAGATGTATTTGCTTCATTTCGAGTCCTATAGGGCGAAACCCTTTTTTAATTGCCGCGTTTATATTATATTATTATTATTCTACTATTTTTGTAAACACTCTAATTTGAAAACTTTTGCATGTATTGCGTTGAAATTTGGTATGTTTGTAAAGGCCATGGGTTGTGATGTTTATCCTAAAATCAGTCACATGACCAGGCCGCCATGTTGGGTCAAAGGGGGGAATTTTCAATGCTTAATTGCACACCTTTCTGAGGGTCTGAGCGCTCTCAGTTTTTATAGTAAGAGCGCTTGAACAAGGGCTACAGATTTCATCAAAAACAAATTAGCGGTCATGTGACTTTTTGTTGTTATATTGAATATTTCTAAATTAGTTTGCACATTTGTTATATAACTAATATCTCAAGCACTGTTTCAGATAGGGACACGCAGCCAGTGTTATAGTAAAGAAAAGCGAAAAGTAATAAGTCTGAAATATATTAGGTCATGTGACCTCATTAATATGCATAACTTTCATATCTCAAGTACTGTTGCAGATAGGGACATGCAACCAGTGTTATAGTAACAGGAAAGCTCGAGTGATACATCTGAAATATCAGATAACCATATATGGTCATGCACTGTTGCAGATAAGGACATGCAAACAGTGCTATCAGTGTAAACAGCAAATGTGCCAAGTGTCATTGGTCATGATGGCTCGAAACTCGGTCATTGATGCTATGCAGCTATATTATTTATATTTGTATACGTTTTGTGGTTTAACAATTTTAGAACAAAACCTGCTTTTGAGTCACACAGTTTTGCGAGTTAACCTAGTCGACAATGACGATATTTACATTGTCCTTTATTTCGACTGAATATTAATAGAGGTTTGGGGCAACTGGCCGTTAAACAGTGAATAAAACAAACTGGCACCAATCACGATTTAACATTACGTTCAAATCCATTATAATAGTTTCATTTCCCATTAATTAGACCCATCAATAAGTTGTATTTATTCTAATTTTTCTAATAATTATAAACTTATTATAATACATTACCTTACAATAATTTTGCATTTCACATACGTTTTACTGATATTTTAGTACATTCCTCACATTAAAACATAACTACATAAACTATTATATAATCCTACATTGCTACACTTAACGCAGTAGCTAGGCTGTGACGTCATTTCATGTTCATAATAAATATCTGGTGAAAATTATTGAAATGTAAATTTATCTTCATTCAATAAAATATTTGGCAACACAAAATTCATGGGTGAAGTAGTGCATTTGACAAAACGTACAGGTGCACGTATTTATAATCGTATTAAGGCCGGGGTATTTTCGTATTATCTCATTCTCATGATATGCAAAGTTAACATCGCTGATTAGCAATAATTTATTGCCGCATTCATTTTCAGGAATAGTAAGTCGAAACGCTGATCATGTGTGGAAGGAACGTCGTACTTTTATAGGTACGCAATTACGTGACTTTACCAAGAGATCTTTAGAGGCAACGATTCATGAAGAAGCTGAGATGTTGTGTGAGGCACTTGGAGCCACCAATTGCAAGCCTGTTGACTGTAGCCATCTTCTGCGGTACGCCATCATAAATGTTATAAGCATTTTTCTATTTGGGGAAAGATGGGAGTATAGTGACACAGCTTTTAAGAAAATATTAGAAGAGAACGATGTGTTTGTCTCTTATCTGAAATATAATATAGCAGCTAACTTTATACCCTTCCTCTGGCACATTCCTTATGGCATACCGAAATTTATGAAGTCTGATTACA